TCAGGGCATGTTCCTGCTGATTGTCTGGTAGATATTGAGGGCGTCATGCGTGTATTTGTGACATACGACATCATGTACCTTTGTCTGTCAGGGGCGCTCCCGCTACACAGCCCAGGGCCCGGTGTTAGGTGCCCTACAGCTGGCTCAGTGTGGAATGGGCCCCCTAGAGGACAGCGGAGAGTACTGCATCCTCAGATAACGGTTCTGACCAGCAGTTGAAGTATTTCATCCAGAACTGAGGCAAATCCTCCAGCTGGGTCCTCAGATGTACTGGAGGAGTCATTTTAGCTCTGATCTGCCCCCCCTCGTCGCCAAAGGACCCCACTGAAACGCCATCCCGGGGCCCTGGGGGTGACACTGCCCAATCTGTCCCTGCGGGCAGCATTCGGGTCGGGTCCTTTTTCTATTTCCATTTAACGTGCCGTTAATCATCAAACAGGACATCTTCCTGTCTGTACCCAGGGAGAACGCAGCCCCGAGTCACTGCTAACGGAGGGCGGCAGGGTGGGGTCCCCCTCCCTCAGAGCAGAGGCTCTATTGAATGATGAGGTACCCTGCTGCTTAAGGACACCACGGTCCTGCTAATGTACCCTTAAGCAGGGCTCGTAACCTGAACTGCTCCCAGAAATTTCCATCTGTATGAACAGGCAAATGAAGCTCATTTAGATAATAATGTCACCCTTGAAAGGTCTGGGCTTTAGGTTAAGTGTGCACTTCTTAACCCACTCGGTCGGACGAACGTGTGAATGTATTCAAATGTTAACAGCAGATTGGGAGCACGACGATCTACAGCCACGGTCACACCAGGAGTCTGACTACATGTTGACCTGGGGTATGGGGTCTCACACTGCCCTCCTGCCCTGCCGTCCCTAAAATTTACAGCACCGAGGCAACGCTATAACGCTATATATTTAAAAAGTACTGAAGCAAACTGATTGTACTGATTGTGATGTGTAACAGGTTATCAGGAATGCGGCCTGCTGTGTTATTGGTCAGACAGCTGCTCTCGGGACGTCTCTCCCCACTCTCCTTTGGCGGCTGGTGTTGCTTCACTCCTCCAGGTGCCGTTCGCTCCCCCTGTATCCGTCTCCTGGCCGGACACCAGCACGTGTTCTGTGGAAACCCAGGACGCCTCACCTGCTTTTTGCCGCTTTATCTCCGGATTAGGATCCTCTGCAACATCTCTGCCATCTTCATCGCATCTCAGCAGGCCCCTGATGAACTCAGCAGGCTTCTAAAATGCCTGAAGGGTCTCATTAAAGAAGACTAATGGTAATATTTAAGATCTTTTATTGTCTTGCACCTACAGTCTATTTTCATGTTTTATGTGGATCTTCAAGCAAACTTTAGACTTGGTGGGATGTGATTTGTGACCTTTGACTTTGTGTGAATGACTCATTAATCTGATCTTATGTTAAACAGCACTCTCTGCCTTGCAGTGGTCTTTAGCTGAAAATCATATGAACCATCCAGCTTATGCTCACCGCTTTCCCATAATCCTCTGCGTGATCTGAAACCTGTTACATATCACAGCAGGTGGTTGTTCAGTTGCTGCTTAAGATATATCCTGAGCTTTTTGAGGGAAAGCCAGGGATGTGTGTAGGAGAGGCATGACATGCTTTCGGCATAAATGCTACTCGTGCTCCATTTGCCCTGTGAAGAACCATGATTTTTATTTTATCACGAAGAGAACCGGAGGTGCTGTGATGGGGACCTGTCTACCTGAAGGTGACGCGGACCTGTGTACCTGAAGGTGACGAAGACCTGTCTGTGTGAAGGTGAGGTGGACCTGTATATGTGAAGGTGACACGGACCTGAAAATGTGAAGGTCACACGGACATGTCTACATGAAGGTGACGCAGACCTGGCCATCTGAAGGTGACGCAAATCTGTGTTTATCTCTAGCTGCAGTATTTTTATCAGCAATCCCTGTGCCATTCGCTGTAATATAACAGGAACAAAATTACCTTCAGTGGTAATGAAATGCCATTTATGATCACCGTGGTGTAAATCAGTTTGTGACGCATGATGATCCGCTTTCTGTGAGGAGCGCGGGCAGCTTTAGGCCAGGTCTCCTTTCCTGTAATCTCCTGTAGCCGTGCAGAGATTGAGCTGAAATCAGCCCAGACACCTGCTCTGTGTCGCAGGTAACAGGCTGTGAAAGTCAGCCTGGAGGGTACCATCACCCTCACTCTCAGCGTTAAGTGTCTTCTTACTTACCAAACTTTTACTGGAGAACTCAGTGGTCACTGGTTCAGTTTGTCTTTATTTGAAATTATTAAATTATTAAAGTATTGTAGAAATGATTTAGTCCATTACTCTCTGACCCATTTGTCATCAGCCATCATCATCATCATCATCACAAATAAATAAGATATTATAACATATTTTCCCAAAAGTGGGATTTTGGTCCAAGAACGTGTCTCAGTAAGTGCCTTTCTGTCTCCCCCTGTTGGAGAGACTGTGAGCCTGACCTGGTTGAGGCTGCAAGCAGCATTTCTGAGAAGTTAGGTCTGCGTGAACTTCAAAGGCAGACATTTATGCATGAGTCGTGGTCCTGAGGCCTCTCTGTATGCATTGCTAAAAGAGCTTCATAGGATTCCTAACTGAAGGAACTTCAAGAGATTTCACATTGGGAAAGCCTCATGAGATTCCTGACTGGAAAAGCTTCATGAGATTTCTGGGGCATCAGAACATGCCTGATTGGGAGAGCTTCAGGAGATTCCTAGCTTGGAGAGCTTCAGACAGTTTTTCACTGAGAGAGATTTGGAGAATTTCATTTCAATCAGCTGCAGAATTTTGTGAACTTTGTGAGCTTTTGTTAATCATTACAAGATTACATTGAGGTACCAGAATAGATGATGACCTTCCAGTCTGTCGGTAGAAGAATTTGTTCTAATGTGTATAATTCCATTGGGGGGGGGGGTCATCTTGGGCGATAATGTCTGGTGGCTGGTCTGTTTTTTTCTTCCCAAGGAGTCTGTTTTTGCTGAAGATGGTAAACAATTGCAGTTTTCCTTCCACTAATCAAAAGCCAATCCTTAACCTTACACACTGCTCAGAGCAGTACTAGGTATCCTTAAAGCTTACACACTACTCAGAGTGGTACTAGGTATCCTTAAAGCTTGCACACTACTCAGAGCGGTACTATGTATCCTTAAAGCTTACACACTGCTCAGAGCGGTACTAGGTATCCTTAAAGCTTACAAACTGCTCAGAGCAGTACTAGGTATCCTCAAACCTTGCACACTGCTCAGAGCGGTACTAGGTATCCTTAAAGCTTACACACTGCTCAGAGCGGTACTAGGTATCCTTAAAGCTTACAAACTGCTCAGAGCAGTACTAGGTATCCTTAAACCTTACACACTGCTCAGAGCAGTACTAGTATCCTTAAAGCTTACACACTGCTCAGAGTGGTACTAGGTATCCTTAAACCTTACACACTACTCAGAGCGGTACTAGGTATCCTTAAACCTTACACACTACTCAGAGCAGTACTATGTATCTTTAAGCTTTACACATTGTTCTGAGTGATGGTAGGTATCCTTCATTACAGGGGTGTCAAACTCCAGTCCTGGGGAGCCGGAGCCCTGTGTAGCTTGGTTTTTTTCCCGTTCCACCACAAATGATTCAGCTCAAGAGCTGTGTGGTAATTAGCACAAGGAGTTGAATCAGGTGTGTTAAATGAGGGTGAACCAAAAACTGTGTAGGGCTCCAGCCCCCCAGGACTGAAGTTTGAGACCCCTGCTTCATTGTTTGGGAGGAAAATATTTTCTCAGCACAATAGATATCTGTGGAGGTTATTTGAATGTAGTATAAATAGACAAATGGAACACTTCTGTTTATAACTTTTTGAAAAATGAAGCATGTGCAGAATTAGATATTTAATATATCTTAAAAAATGTTTAAACATTGGATTCTATGAAAGGGCAGAATAACATAGTTGGGGTGGCAGAGGACGTGTTTCAGATTTTATTTCTGCAGAATAACATTGCCTTAAGGTAGTGTTACAAGAAAAAGTGAATGTAATTATGGCACCTCTGTCTTTCAGCATAGTCTTCATTGTTCGGGAAACAAAGCCATCCATTGACTGGGTTAATGGTATTGGGACGCCAAGGCCAGCAAAGTGCATGCGATTAATCACCTTTTCAGCCTAACCAACTATCGATCTGACCTCGTTAATGTATGTGGGATGGGCTACATGACTGGGCTACAGAGCGCTCGGCAGCACCGCTAACAAGGGACACTTCATCGGGCGATAGTGAACCGCAACATCCATAATAACAGACGGCCATAATTAAACTGTCCCCGAGAATCAAACGGTCCATTAAGCAACTCGGCATGGCTGCTTTTAAAATTCATGGTGCACTAAATGCACAACAACTGGCATGTAGTTACTCTCCGTAAGTATAAGGAGTGCTGGCGTGGGAAAGGTAGCGGCCATTGTGCCCCTTATGAGATGCGACGGGTCCAGATCTTCAGCGTGTGGTGACGATCAGGAACCGTCCTTCATGCCGTGGCCGATGTGAGACTGCACAGTGTTCTGTTGTTCGCAGGGTGATGACCTTGATTAGCGCCTCATGATGCACGATCGGACATGCGCTCGGCCTACCTGCGTTTCATACCCCTGCTCTTATCTCCCGATTGGCTGTTGGCTGGTCACATGACTAAGGTTTTTTACAAACTGAGTGGCCAGGAAACATTCCATTTAAGAAAAAAAGCAACTCTAGAAAGTATGATGTTAATTTATCTTTGCTGCTATTTGGGGGAGGGGTACGGCTGTGTTTTCTTATGTAGGTCCTTATCTTCTGGGTTTCTTGATGGCTTTATTCTAGGCTTTCTGACCCATTCAGTTCAGGTTCCCCTTTGCTCTGGCACCCCCCCCCCCCCAACCAGCCATCCCAAAGTGGAAGAGGTGCGATGGAGACAAAAACAGGTGCCCTGTCAACCATGAAAGTGAAAGTGCAGGAAATGCAGGAAAAACACGCAACACTGACATATGCTGCTGGGTCTGCTTTTATTGCTCATTTGTCTTTTCATGGCGGCTAATTTACAGGAGACATTTGTGGGGCTTTTCTTCTGAAATCAATGACTCCCTGGGGATAAGGTTAAGGCTCCGGGCCCTTTTTTTCTGAATCAGCCTTAATGCCGTCCGCCCTCAGCCACAATGACATTCCTGTCAGGTTATGTGTCTGTCAGCTGACACGTTCAGGACATCAGAAAGAGGCAGGGAGGAGCTAAGCGAACAGCTTATAGGCAGTTACACATGTGATAGAGAAACGTGGCGGAGGGACCATGGCAGATAGGCTGGGAAACCGGACAGGGGAGCAGCTAAGCATTGTGGGAGGTTTTCTGGGACTGTCAGTAAACGACAGACGTTGGGGTGGGCGGTGTCTAACGGGTCCTCTTCGTCAGGCGGATCCAGATCCCCTTCTCTGGACGCAGGATGAGGTCCCCGATGGGCTTGAGATCCTCTCGCTTCTGCATGGCCTCGATGTTGAAGTAGCGCAGGATGTAGGACAGCACCACCTTCTCCTCCATCAGCGCAAAGCGCTGACCTGTGCTCACACACACACACACACACACACACACACGTACACAAATGAGAGCTTATAGATCCATCAGCAGGAGTTTCAGGTACAGAAAGTAAAAATCCAGACCGAGTTTTTGATTCAACAACCAGTTGAGTACTGTGTGACCTGAAATGTCCAGATCTGTCCATGTCCTTGTAGATAGGTCTGTATGCATATTCATATATCGTATAAGGTCTACTCTATAAACAAAGCGAATCAAATCCATGACAAAATTATTCAAATACAGTGGTACCTCGGTTCTTGAACTTAATCCGTTCCAGACTCCGGATCGAATCCTAAAAAGTTCGAGTCCTGATCGAATTTTCCCCATAAGAAACAATGGAAAACCAATTAATTGGTTCCCGGCCCCCCAAAATTACACCTAAATAAGTTTTTTTTTTTTAATTTTTAGCATTTAAACACAACAGGATAAAACAAGAAGAGCATTTTTTTCTTAATGGCTTCCAAA